CTGTCTCCATATGGCCCATTACTGTACCACCAAAATTTGTGGTGGCTCAAAAAAGCAAATACTGATTCTCTCCCTCAATGAATGTTAAATTTCTGCTGGTGCACTAGAATGGAATTGTACCATTAAACATGAAATAAAGAAAAGTAACCCAGAAAATAGTTCTTCCTACAAGTTCTTTTCAATAGTGGATAGTTCAATGGGTAAATATTTAATGGGAACATAAATATAATGGAGATTTTTCATATAAAAGGTGGGTCAGGAATGTACATGCCAGAAGGAAAAACAGGATTGTTTTAAAGTAACCAGTGTCTTCAGATGAGTTTGGTAATAGTATTTCAGGATTTATGCTGCAGAAGATACAGTTTTTCCAGTCTGTTTCTATTATCTGACTTCATCCCAAAATATTCTGTATATTTAAAAAGTGGAGGATAAGATAGCAGAGTAGATTAAGAGCGTTTATAAGACTGTTCACAGGCAACTATTTTCTTTTTCTTTCAGAAGACATTTGTATGCTATTCCACAAAACCTGGTTTTCAGAGACCAAAAATATTTTTGGATCTCATCTTAGTCACTCAGTTCCTTGGACTCACACTTGCATGAACAAGATCAAAGAACGTACTTCAGTAATTTGCTTCAAGATAATCCTGTTGGATGGTTTGCTTTCATTTGGACACAAGTCACTGCCTTCTGTTCAGCTCTTTAAGATTAATTTCAACAGTAACAGTAAAACGATGGGACAAGAAGAAGAAAAACCTCTGAAGGAAAACTTTCAGTTTAGTAGGAAAAGATATGTTCTTCCAGCAAAACTATGCACCAAGGAGGCAAGTGCCCCAAACTTCTATCATGCTTGTTATCTACACTCTATGCAAATACAAAATATCTGGGATCAGATATTTAAATTGTAAGTTTGCTATGTAAGGCATAAAATAATGTGTTAGTAAGAGTAATAAAAATAAGTCAAGCCCAGATATAATACATGGGAAGAACAAACAGAACAATACGTTAGCTTCTTGCCCACTATAGTTTGGCTTCAGTTTCACCCACTAACCACAGAATCGATTTGGAGCTGGGGGCTTTGAGCCAGTTGCTGTCCAAATGACCAAATGAAATGGGTCGCAGAGAAACCTGTTATCTGCATACACTGAATTGCGACTCAATGGCTCAGCAAGGCATCAAAGTGCGCCCAGTGCTGCTCAAGCGGAACAGTCTGGATTCTGTTGATTTTAGGAGGCAGCCTCACCATCGCCGGAGCAAATCACAACAAGTCCGATTCAAAGATGACGGGACAGACAATTCACCAGCAGCAGAATCAGAACATGAAACAGGAGCTGCTCAAGACCCATGTGCACTGGGTAAAACGCAGGCATCCCAACCCCACAGTGTGCTGAACGATTCCCTCTGTTTCCCTCCATCTCACAAGGGATTACAGAATATCGCAATTCAGACTTCTCCTAGCCTCAGGAAGCATTTTCCAGTATTTAAAAAGAAAAGAATTGCAACAAGCAAGTCCTTGACGGAAATGCCAAAAGAATCCGAGTATTCAATTCAAGTCAATGGCAACCTTTCTGAACAGGACATAATCTCTTCTAGCCTGTCTTACTTAAGCATCAGCCAGCATTTAGAGGATGGGCCAAGAACAGCCAAGGCAGCAGATCTGCTGTTTCAAGGGGTGCATAAAGCACAAAGCAACGGGCCAGTCCATTTGGGTTCCGATAAAATTACAATACTGGAAAAAGCAACTGTTTCAACCCAGGTCCCTGACTACACACACCCAGGTTCTGCACAAGACAGTTTTTCTGTTTGTGGCCCAGATACACAAACGGGTCTAAGCAGCTCAGTTCATTCTTCTACAGCTATGAGACAATCTAATGAAAACTATTCACTACAAATGGGTTCAGAAAAATATTTGCCCAACATAAGTCATAACTGTAATGAAACTAACATGGTTCATTGTTCGTGTGAAGAAAAAAGTTATACTGAATTATTTGCATCGAAGGATGACGCTAGCACTAAGGGAACCATTCTCTCATCACCTCAGTTACACCCCAGTCTCTTACCCTGCTCCCTCAAAGAACAGGAGCAATCAATACAGCAGAAAACAGATTCTGGCCATATGACACTGACTAACGATAATCAAACAGCATCATTCACCAACAATAATGCATCACCCAGTGTTCCCTCATGTCAAACTGTAACAGAGAACATTTCTACCACTACCGAAGTGCCACAGTATAACAACTGCTTAGAAGGCTTTTACATAAACACTTATCTTCCAGGGGCTGAAATAAAACCAGAGAACAAAGAGATTAAAGAAATTAATCAAATACATTTGGCGCACAGTGAGCTGAGCATCCTACAAGACAGGCTCCAGTCCGTTGAGGAATCTTTGCAGTCAAACCAGGAGAAGATTAAAGTCCTTTTGAATGTAATTCAAGACATGGAAAAGGCCAGAGCCCTCAATGAAGGGTACGATGTGTTTTGATATTTAATATTACTTTATTTAAAGCAACTGCAAACTTTTAGAGAATACACTATTGTCTTTACATTTTGCTCTTTAGAAAACAGCTGCACGCATAATTGCATTTTGTTGTTCAATAGTCTTCCAGGTGCATTTACACTGTGAAATTTATGGAACTTTTTTCAGTAAGATTTATCTACGTTAAGAGCACGCCAGCATTAGACATTTTATTTCTCCTGGTGGTTTAATTCTGATTTAGGTAGTGGGTAATTTGCTAAGGAGCACTGACATTTCCTCATTTGCAAATGAATTGAAAAAGCATATGCAAAAGAACCATAATACTGCAGTCCTATACACATCTTAACTCAGCTCCATGGAATTCACTGGGACTTACCTCTGAGTAGGTATGCATATAATTTCACTGTAAATTTGACTAACTCTGACTTTTAAGAAACTAGAAATTCTTTCCCACTGCTGTCAGTAGAGGAGAGGGACAGAGAGGGTGAATTGGAGGCCATAATATATTCATGCTCAGTAAACTGTTATTTATTGCAGCAGTTTTTCTCTCTGAACCAGCCCATTGCACTTAGTATCTTAATCCTGATAAGGAGAATTACACAGAGATACAGGATTCCATGTGTTTTTCTCTTGCTGGATTAAGAACCAGGGGCATATTGCAAATGACAGCAGGAATGCAGGGAGCGCCTACCTACGCTGGCTGCATTAGCGTCACTGGATACACAATGGGACAGAGGAATCCTTGCAAGTAGAACTTGTTGGCAATTCCTTGGCTTGCCATGCCCTGCCGGAACCTCCCATCGCGGTTATCATGCCATGTTTATAAAAAGTAGGTCCAGTTATTTGTGCCACTCTTTCATCATGGAAGAGTAACAGCATGTGGTCTGCAATTAGTCTGTGGGCTTGGCTATCATACGTGGTGCAGCACCCAGAATATGAACAGGAAAGGGAAAATAGGTCATTGCTTCTCTTCCTGCCTCCTCTCTTCTACCGAGAAAGCCATGGAGAGAAACCTTGGACTAAATGTGATTGGCTGTTCTATGAAGACATGCCTGTGAAAAAGTTGCTTGATAAGGAAGCAAGAAACATGAAAGTGGTGGTAAAATATCCTTTCTGTGTGAGTTTCCTGCAAGTGCTTGAATGCAGCTGAGCCAGCAACACTGACATTGAAAATTCTCCCATGTCAGGTAATCATAATTTATGATCACTAGAGAGGAGTCCAGAGTTCCCAGCAGATCCTCCCAACCTGCAGGAATTGCACCACGCTGTGATGAACTATGTTGAGTGTGGTTCCTGAGCTGAAGGGAAGTTGGAGTTACAATGAAGGAGTTATAAAATGAATGCTTTTTAGCAGATGTTCCACTGCCACCAACAGCTAATTCTTTAAATACTTCAGGTCTACTAAAAGCAGATTGTTCGAATGTGTAGAAGATTTATCAATCCCAAAAAATGTTATCAAAAAAGTCAAAAAGTAGGACCCACAGGGAGAAATAAGGCAGTATTTTAACTCCTACATATTTAAATTACCTCAGTAATTTTAGGATTAAATCCATCACCACATTAGCAAATCCACTAGTGCAATGGGGCTTTCTCCCTTTCTCTTCCCTCTGAGGACCTACAAAATGGCCAAACATTTCCTCCAGAGCATTTCCCAACCCCCTGAAGCAGATTTTGAGGAATTGCAAGATGGAATTGCCCACTTCCCAGTTGTACTAATAGAAGCAATTCTATCAGTGTAATAACACCACTGGATCCAACCCTTAGTGAGTAAACAAATTAGTGAGTTACAAATTGCAACTCTATTGGCTTATCTCCAGTTGAACCAGACCAAAGATACTTTTCAGACTTTCCAGAGCTGTCAACTCCACAGGCAATCCAAATGCAATCTGTTAAGTGAAGTCCAGAGCCACCCACAACTCTAGTGCCTGTAAAGAAAATATTAAAATTAAAGAGGGTGGGAGCATTAAATGATACCTTTGGGAAACATGCTAGCCCTTCAGAATTTTCATGTTACAGATTAGTTTACTGTTCTAATGTATACGCATTGGTTTACCAGTAATGGCAAGTACTTTTATGATGCTAGCTTTTTATTGGAAATTGTACTAAGTGGCTTGGCTCAGTAGGAAATTTCCCAAAATTAAAAAAGAATGCTATCTTAAATCCATGACATAATCAATGTTTTCAACAGGGAATATAGGTTTGGACCTTTAACTAAACTAGAAAACTCACACTGCAGCCCCGTAAAGAGTTGTTATTCAAATAAACATTTGTTGTTAGTTAGTTACGAAGTCACGTCCGACCCATCGCAACCCCATGGACAACATTCCTCCAGGCCTTCCTGTCCTCCACCATCCCCCGGAGTCCATTTAAGCTCACACCAACTGCTTCAGTGACTCCATCTAGCCACCTCATTCTCTGCCATCCCCTCCTTCTTTTGCCATCTACTGTTCCCAGCATTAGGCTCTTCTCCAGGGAGTCCTTCCTTGTCATTAGGTGGCCAAAGTATTTGAGTTTCATCTTCAGTATCTGGCCTTCTAAAGAGCAGTCAGGGTTGATCTCCTCTAGGACTGACTGGTTTGATCGCCTAGCGGACCAAGGGACTCGCAGGAGTCTCCTCCAGCACCACAATTCAAAGGCCTCAATCCTTTGGCGCTCAGCCTTCCTTATGGTCCATCTTTCACAGCTATATATTGCAACTGGAAAACCATAGCCTTGACTATACACACTTTTGTTGGCAGGGTGATGCCTCTGCTTTTTAGTATTCTGTCTAGATTTGCCATAGCTTTCCTCCCCAGGAGCAAGCACCTTTTAATTTCTTGGCTGCAGTCCCCATCTGCGGTGATCTTGGAGCCCAGGAAAATAAAATCTGTCACTACCTCCATTTCTTCCCATCTATTTGCCAGAAAGTGAGAGGACCAGATGCAATGATCTTAGTTTTCTTAATGTTGAGTTTCAAGCCACCTTTTGCGCTCTCCTCCTTCACCCGCATCAAGAGGCTCTTTAGTTCCTCTTCACTTTCTGCCATGAGAATGGTATCATCTGCATATCTGAGGTTGTTGATATTTCTCCCAGCAATCTTAATTCCAACTGGTGATTCATCTAGACCCACCTATCTCATGATGTGCTCTGCATATAAGTTAAATAGGCAGGGTGACAGTATACAGCTTTGCCGAACTCCTTGCTCAGTTTTGAACCAATCAGTGGCTCTGTGTTCTCACTGTTGCTTCTGACCCACATATAGGTTTCTCAAGAGACAAAGAAGATGGTCAGGTACTCCCATCTCTTTAAGAACTTGCCACAGTTTGTTGTGATTCACACAATCAAAGGCTTTAGCATGGTCAATGAAGCAGAAGTAGATGTTTTTCTGGAACTCCCTAGCTTTCTCCATGATCCAGCATATGTTGGTAATTTGATCTCTAATTCCTCTGCCTCTTCGAAATCCTGCCTGTACTTCTGGTAGTTCTCAGTCCATGTACTGCTGGAGCCTGGCTTGTAGGATTTTGAGCATAACTTTGCTAGCATGTGAAATGAGTGCAATGGTGTGGTAGTTTGAACATTCTTTGGCATTGCCCTTCTTTGGGATTGGAATGTAAACGGATCTTTTCCAATCCTGTGGCCACTGTTGAGTTTTCCAAGTTTGCTGGCATATTGAGTGGATCACTTTTACTGTGTCATCTTTTAAGATTTTGAATAGCTTAGCTGGAATACTGTCACCTCCACCAGCTTTGTTGTTGCTCAGACTTCCTAAGGCGCATTTGACTTCACATTCCAGGATGTCTGGCTCGAGGTCAGTGACCACCCCATTGTAGTTATCATGGATGTCAAGCTCTTTCTTGTATAGTTCTTCTGTGCAATCTTGCCACCTCTTCATAATCTCTTCTGCCTGTTAGGTCCCTGTCATTTTGGTCCTTTATCATGCCCATCTTTGCATGAAACTTTCCCTTCATATCTCCAATTTTCTTGAAGAGATCTCTGGTCCTCCCTATTCTATTGTTTTCTTCTATTTCTTTGCACTGTTCATTTAAGAAGGCCTTCTTATGTCTTCTAGCTATTCTCTGGAATTCTGCATTCAATTGGGCATATTTTTCTCTTTCTCCCTTGCCTTTTGCTTCCCTTCTTTCCTCAGCTATTTGTAAAGCTTCCTCAGACAGCCATTTTGCTTTCTTGCATTTTGTTTTCTTTGGGATGACTTTAGTTGCTACCTCTTGTACAATGTTGTGAACCTCCATCCATAGTTCTTCAGGCACTCTGTCTATCAGATCTAATTCCTTAAATCTATTTGTTACTTCTACTGTATATTCAAATAACACTTAGTAAGCAGGAAAACAATGCAATGGGCCAAGCACCGCTATTAATTAAATCCAGCTTAAAAAACATTGTATTAGGACTGGATAAATCAGATACTCCAAACTATATTAAAATCAAGATATCTCTTCTACACATTAGAATTATAAACCCCAGCTAACAGATTTATACTATGTGTCAATGGCATTTTGGATAGTACTTGAGGTTTAGGTGAGGTATGAAGAGTCACAAATCTTTTGAAAGCATCTTTTTGAAGATATCCTTTACCCCAAACCGGGGGGGGGGGGGGGGGGATTCCTTTTCTTTGCTTGTTTCTTCAGTCCCTTTTTACAAAGTTGCTTCCCTCTGCTAACAGTGCTGTCCCTTGGCTGAAAGTGAGATATTCCCCCCATTCTATTCACAAGTGTAGCCACTTGTGGAGACTCATCACCTTCCCAAATTTTCATCTGGGTGTGGTGTAGTGGTGAAGAGCATGGGACTGGGACTCAGACGATCTGGGTTCTGGTCCCCACTCAGCCATGGAGCCAACTGGGTGACTTTGGGCCAGTCACAGACTCTCAGCCCAACCTACCTCACAGGGTTGTTGTTGTGGGGATAAGATGGAGGAGGAGAATGATGTAAGCTGCCTTGAGCCCTTTGTAGGAAAAAGGCAGGACATAAATCGAAATAAATAAATAATCTTTCTTTTTATATCAATTTCCACCATTTTCACTTCTGCGGATCTTCAAAACAAGCATGTAGGCTGTACGCCGTATTAAGTACTAAAAGTGTCCCCACCTTTCAGTGTTCTTTGGCCAATCATTGCAAGACATTGTAATGATGGAAAAAACACCAATAACTTATTTCAATTTTGTAAAATAAAAATGTTAATACTATTTACACTATGTGATCCTATATATGTCTAGATAGGAAAAAGTCCACCAACTCCCAACATTTCCCAGCTAATATGTCTGATGGGGGAATGGTGGAGGTTAAAGGAATTTACCATGTTTAAACTTGTGAAGTATTGCTTTAAACATGTTAAATTAAATGTATTTAGCTTCTGTTTATTCTGCACTGATTCTAACCTACCTCTCCAATTATCACTACAAGAGAACAGTTTCCATCTGGAAGCATCTTTGCTCCAATTACAGCTTTACAGAAGCACCCAAAATTCAGCTGAATGGTAGTGCAGCTGAACTCAATGCTCACAGAGTATCTGATTACTTTTCTGTGTTTGCATGGGGTGATTATCAATAAAAACATATCTCCCAGTGTAAGTAGTATTTATGTTTCTTTACTTGGTTGCTCATGGGCAACGTAAACATAGAAATAAGATGTCTGCTTTAAATATTAAAAGGAATACCAAACAATCATCATTAGAATCTCCTGAAGATTAAGAATTCTAATTTGTGTATTCATCAGAAAAGCTAAACACTTATAAAGTGCTTCATTAGTGCAAAACACAAGGTTTATTTCCATTCTTGCTGCATAGGTGCAGGATTGGATCTGCCTCAGTGCACATCAACAGACAAATGAAATTCCTAAGTGGTTCTAGAAACGTATTTACATTCTCTTATCCTCAGTGGTGTACTCACAACACCAGCAGTTTTCAATTTCCCTTAAATAAAAACAGCTCTGTACAAATTTAGGGGATGGAGATGGGCATACGAAATTCTGTATTAGCAGAAATAAAACATTTGTTCCACTCAGCTGGAAAAAAGAAAACAGGAAACTGAAAAATCTCCCATTAGTCCAAAGTGAATTTATTTCATGGATTATATAGTGTTTGCCCTTTCAAACAGTAACATTGCATCCCTTGAGTATTCTTGGATTTGTTATCTGTTGTTCTATGAAGTAGAAAAGAATTGGCAGGATCAGGCTCCTCTTTGGGGATGGGAGTGGGGCACACGAGCATGTACTCAAAAAGTGAAAAGGTATGGGAACTAGCCAAGCCATGTTTAAATCATTTATTCCCATATATGTGTTAGAACAATAGATGTAGACTTTGTAAGCGATTAAGCTCCAGGTGTCTAGCTATCCTCCTGGAGGCATATTAAAACTGTGACATTAAATTTGTAACATCTGCATTTTCAGAAAACTTTTATGGTAGCAGAAGTACTACTCAGCACTGAAAGCAGTGCTACAATTAGATCCACTGAGAGCAGAAAGAGATTCATTTGAGGTTGAACAATCTTACACCCATAATTCAGTCCAAGCTGTCAGTGACTAATGGGTGATTTTAACTCTTGGGAATGACAATTCCACTAAAAAGTTACACCCAGGCCATTTCTCTGCAAATAGACCTGAATTATGGCAGTTGTCTCTAAATCATTCCTGACAAGATGTTTGCTGAACTCAGCCTTGAGTATTTCCTAGAGTGGATGTTGGACATTGGCTCAGGCAGGTAGTAAGCAAAGAAATGGATGCCACAAAGTATATTGCTTAAAGCCAACATCTTCTATAATCATATGCCTGTGTGGAAGACGAGGTTTTCTCATCCTTATTGATGTTAAGAAACAAAAGGAGTACATGTTATGGGGACCTACAAGTGCAGAAAGAGATGACTTCATATATGTGCCAAAAATTTATTTATTTATTTATTTAGGGAACTTCTATGCCGCCCCATTCGCCGAAGCCTTGGGGCGGCTCACAAACATAATCAACAAAATAAATAACATCCTATAAAACAATATAAATTAATGATTGTTTCTGCTCTTGTCGCACCTCTTCTGTTCTCTAGAACATTTCCTACTCAGGTATCAAGACCATCCTGGGCCTGGCACCATAAATTCCTAAAGCATCCGAACAGCCATAGTTTTTCCTCAGCCTCATACATACTTGTATGTTTATGATCATTAGGAGAAGTGTGAGTGTGGGCTATACACAAGATCATTTCAGGCAACCCCAAGTTTGCCAATGAATGTACCCTCTTCAGGTACTTCTTAGCCTCTCTGTCTGATGGCATTCCTATTTGAAACTTCTCAAGTTTATACCCCAAATAACATGTGAAATGGCCCACAGATGTAACAGACAAATCTGCTATCTGTAATAGGCTTACTACTGACTGACTGAGAGTGTTTAGGATTGCAGTTTGATTAAAATTAAACTCCTTAGGATATACCTTCATATTTAAAGAGTCACATGGAGAAGTGCTTGCAGAGAGCAAATGTAGCCTCCTTGTGACCAAGGAGTTAGCTGTAGAATTGCTGGTTTTATAAATAAATCATAGTAGTTATTGTTTATTACAGGCGGAACTTCTACCGCACTGGCCAAGATCTCAACAATTGCAGCACTTGCCAGAACACTGCATGTATCATTTACAGGTACTTCCTATCAATGAGTAATTGTATGTCTCTGTCTCCACAGGCTCTCTAATGAAGTATTCACTTATTTCTGAACTTAGATATTTCTACATTGTTAAAAGAAACAAAGGGGGGAATTCTGCTATCACTGAAGCGGATGACACAGTATTCATTAATTGAGCTTGAAGATGCATGCACATGGTGTGGATGGAACTTATGAAAACCCATCCTCATAAGAAGTTTTTGGAAAGAAGTTTCCAAACTCAGAAGAAATGTTTTGAAAAATTAACATGGGTTTGCAAAGTACTAGTCACAGCCAAAGAATCCACCAAAGCATAAGTATTCGGAGCAAATTGTGTTGCATTAGTGTAATGCCAATCGTTTGTGCCACAGGATTTCCTGGAAAAACTGCTGAACAAACTAATTATATTGGCATTATCAGGCTGGAGATCCCTTAGATTAGTCCAATATAGGACTATTTTCAAGGGCAGTCCCATGTAGAGTGCGTTGCAGTAGTCTAAAACTGAGTTTACCAGTACATGGATTTATGCACTATGCCTTTGTATCATTTCTTAAAGAAATCAAATGAGAAATTGCTGAAATATGTAACATATTGTTAAACCAATCTCTGTGCCAGTACACTTGAAGCTGGCCAATAGAATGCCAGTAGTTTACAAAGGAGCCGGGCAGGGATAAACAGGAAATGACTTTATCATGTCTGGATTGTCTTGGCTAAATTAGTGGAAAGTAGCACAGAAGCTACAATATTCTCCGTGAGGAAGTATTTAAGAACTTTCTTACTGTGAAGCCATGTGGTATTATAGAAACAATAAATTATATAAGGAGGAATTAGTATGGCTTTGATAAAGGGGAATGTAGCCTCACTTTAATTAACTGAGGGTGAATCTTATGCCTGCTCGGGCAGAAAAAAAGGCCCACTACTCACCATGCATCTGCCAGCCATGCTGGAGGCTGCAGGACTTTTTTCTGTCTAAACATGCATGGGATATACCCCGAGTGTGTCAACAAGCATGTCCACAAATGTGATCTAGTAGATTCTGTACTGTTGGGATTTTTTCCCCCACAAATTCTCCAATGAAGTTTTCTAAGGGCATTTTGCAGTTATGAGACAACTGCAATCTATCCTGTAAGAGATCAGTAACTGGCTCAAGAGCAGAGAGCAAATACACTGACAGTTTTCTTGCTATTGTATGCACTGTGGAAAATACATTGGATCGTGTTGTCTGATACAGCAAAACCTTGCTACACCATTGCTTTAAGTTTATGTTAACTTATGGAATATTACACATATATTTGTTCAAAGCATGCAGGTTCACATAACCTAACATAAAAACAGTGAGAGAGAGAGAACAGCACAACAGGGTCGCTTTATTCCTCTCCGAGTGTCTACAAAACCCCTTGATTTTCTTTCTCAACTCATCAGGTTGATTATCTTGTTCAGACAGTTTCAACTATCAAATGTTTTAGTCTGCTTGAAAAAGAGAACAATCTAAGAATATTCTGGTGAGAGAACGATGCTGATACTAAAACTGAGACAGATTCTTCCTGGGAAAACACAGGCCTTTTAAGCAAAAAGATTTCATCTTTCCTAAAGTGTATGTGCTCTGCTGCCTCAAGTTAAACCAGAGCTACAACACGCACCTGCTCAGGGGATGCCATTTTGGAGAAACAATGCCTGTTTTGGAGAAACACTATAACATGAGCAGGAGGACAATGTTTCAGGGATCAACAGATCCTGTAATTTCCAGAATGGTCTTTGATTTCTTCATGAAGCTTTTCTAGAAGATCAGTTCATTCCTTTTAGTGAGGTCCACCCACCCAGGTCTACAACCTGCATTTGTTGTTTTAGTTACCTGAAAGTCAGGGACAATAGTCAGTTAAGCAAAGGCTACATTAGAGCACGATCCAAGGGGAGATGCTGACACAGAGATCTCTCATAATGGCATGTCACATCTTTTCAATATTCCCCTCCAAACGTTCCCTTGAGAAGCAAGAAGAGTTCCTGGTCAGAGATGCTTCAAACCCCATGTTGCATTTTCAGTGGCCACAATAGAAAACTTCATTATCATTACCTCCCTAATCTTATTTGCATGCATGTCTCTTTGCATTTTATGAATTATAAAAAAATTAGGAGAGCATGCTTGTAGTGAAAAAGCTACTTATCATACTGTCACATACATTTCCCTTAATCTTCTGATTTCTCAATTATTACACTTGGGTCCCCAAACTTGAATGGAGAAGCATGTTACGTGAACAAACAAATAACTGAAAACCAAAGAAGACTAAGTTGATAAATTTAATCTTTTGTGACAAAAAGCACTCCATATTAGGAAACAAATATGATCAATACCTCACTTTCTATCTGAAGTCTCAGGTTATGAATACATGTAACAAAGACAACCATCTGAAAATGCTTCCTCTGCCTGTTTATGGGGAAGTATAAGTAGCCAACAATTATTAAGACAGCAAGAAAAAGTTGATTTATTTCCACTGCAGCACATCTCTCAATCCTGAAAAAAAGAACTAGTTCAACTTGCTTGGTCAAACCAGGCAATGAATTTCAGCTTCAACGTATAGGTCTAATCATTTTTTTTCCTAAGCAACAGATTCTCTTCCTCTTCTGAGGCACTAAAACTGCCCTGCTCTCCTATTTTAAGTATTTAGGATCACATCTTAGGCATACAAAGCAGGTCTTTTTAATTAATGTAACATTTTTAAAATTATCATTCTTATTATTTGAGGCAAGACTAACTTCTCACTGTTATTTTAGATTCTTATATTTAGTATCTCATATCTGTTAGTGAGAATTTAGATTCACCATTTCCAATATTACTGATGATATCTATGCCGGACAACTTTGCTATTAGTATGTCAAAACAGACTATATTCTGACCCTAGATGTTTAGTTTTCATCTGATAGTACACCCTGGTCTGATTTGGGCATGATACTAAAACAGGGTTTAGCGTTCCTTAGTGTTTCATAGCTCAGTGCTAAAGCATATGCTGGGCCTGCAGTGGGCACTGGGTTCAGTCCCTGGCATGTCCAGATAATGCAGGGAAAGAGTCCTTCCTGGAACCGAAAGAGAACCACTGCCAACTCCACACTAGATGACCAAGAGTCTGGCTTGGCAGAAGGCATCACCCCATTAAGTTAAGAAGTCTGCCTCAACCCTGGACTCTTGCACTGGCCAACTTCCTCTCTTCCCCTAACGTGGGCATGGGGAGCAGAGTGGAATCACCCACTCCCTATAGTCTGCAAACCTCCAGTTGTAATTGGATGATGTACTCTGCAGATTCAAAATACAGAAAGACACAACAGACAACACTATCTGAACACACACACACTGCTCAAAATGCACAGTGAACATTCTGTTAGTAGGATGGGAACAGAGGAAAGAAATACAAAAAAGATGCACAGAAAGAAGAACACACAGTAGGAATATACGTAGGAGGAAGACATGGGGCATATACAATAATTTTGGGAAAGCAGAAGTTGATTTGACAGGCATATACAGTTGAAAAAATAGCAAGGAACTCATTCCAGATTTGGTGAGGAAAAGGGAAAGTTGATGTTTGAAGAAATGAGGGGTGGGGGAACTGAATCAAGGGGGAGGGGAAATGACAGTATAACATTAAAAAGGCAACAAACTAGCGCCTGAAGTGAAAACATTATACAATCAGAGAGTAAAAGTTGTAAACAGGAAAGAGAAAAACCCTTACCTCTTTGAAAAAGGGGAGACAAAAATACACACTGACATATAGGAAAACATAAAGTATAACAGTTGATAGCAGTCTGAATATAAATTGTAAAATCTTAAACAAGGGGAAGGAAAAGCTTTGAAGGTGAAGGCAAATGTAGATAACGGGTGAGTGGGGAGAGACACAAAATTGTTGACAGTAATGCAAACAATCCAGACAGAAAATAGCTAGCAATTTAGAAAGCAAATGGAATATGCATAATGAAAGAAAGCACAATATATTAAAATAATTGCAGAAATGCATTCACAATAATAAAAAACTTGGAAAGAAAAAATGTTGACAGCAGGGCCCGTATTAAAGAAAATGAACAGCTAGCAATTATAATAATGCAATAAACACAAGGAAGAAAGAACTGTCTAAACAAGAAATTGGTAGAAAATCAGAAGCTGCTGAAGAAGTTTTAAAAGGGCATACATGTCACCACTGCTGCCCTCTTCCCTGCGGGGGGGGGGGGGCATACAGGAAAGGAACTGATGGGGAAAAGAACCAAATATTTTAAGTACTCCAGATTGAAGTGATATAAGATAGCAAGAAGGGAGAAAAACAGGACTAAAATGTAGCCTGTGGGAATTTGCTCCTTTATAAAGGGAATGACTCCTTCGTGAATGGGGGGCCTTTAATCTACTGGAACTTCCCACTAACAGAACAGGGAAGGTGCTATTTGCCAAAACCCACCACCTCCACACCAGTAGCCTTCTTGAGCAGAATTGCAGGGGGAAGGGTAATCAGCAGAACTGGTCTCTCCCATTGTTCCATGTTCACGGGAACTTATGACCCAGAAAATATGACCCAGACGCTGCAAATAACACCTTTTCATTTATCCATTCACCCTTCATACTTAGATTCCACTTACAAACAATTATGGCATTGGACATGAGCACATATACATATTTGTTATGTGCCTTCAAGACATCTTTGACTTATGGGGATTCTGTGAACAAATACCTTCCAAAATGTCCTCTCCTTTACAGCCCTGCTCAGATCTTGTAAATTCAAGACTGTGGCATCTTTAATGGAATCAATACCTCCATACAAATATATCACAAGTAAAATTCAGTGCAGCTTTTCTACGGATGGAACTACTACTGTCTACAGAACCAGAATGTAGCCATTTCCCTTTCCCCTCAAAAGCTGCTCCAGAGGGTTGGGGGACCCTCCAAAGCAGATTTTCAAGAAGCCCAGGGAGCTACTGGGGAAAGAAAGTGAGAAAGTCCTGTTGTGTAAATGGACTTCTGCTCACC